CGGTGTTTAAATACGTTATTGCACTGCCTGGGCCCTCCATCCCAATGAATCTAAGCAAAAGTACCCAACCATGGCAGTGCTCCATAACCGATGTCAGCCAAGTCTCTGCTCGTTGCTCGTGCATAGCACCCCAGTCTCCTCGGTGAGAAATCACTCAATCCCAGGGGGGGAAGTCTGAAGCTGGAATCCTGGGAAGGGTTGTACAGTGTGACGCACGCATGGCACATTCCCCTCATGGACCAATAGAACGACTCAGCGGTCTAAGCATACTATGCCGTGATCTTAAATGGTGCCTCTTTCCAAATGATCCGAGATTCCCACTTGCCCAAAAAATCCTGGTCTTCCAAAAGGGCTCCTTGGGACCATGGCTCAAAGCATTGAGCCCAAACATGGAAACCAAAAGGCTTCGATTTGCCTTTGGATTCCTTCTCAACATGCGCCAAAAAGAAGCCATGCTAGGAAATAAGCACTGTGCCATTCCCAACGCAAATCACGACATGTCAGCGGCTGCAAGAAGTCCCTTGAACTTGGCAACTCAGCTCACCTTCACAAAGATGCAACTGCACTGTGGGATGTGCTGACTCAGAACTTTTTGAACAGCAAGTCAGTCAGTCAGTCATTGCCTAAGTAAGTACCACGCTTGGTCCACAAGGGTTGATGGCTCACAGACCCGTGACTTATGCGGCTGCTAGAACTGAAACGGCCTGTAGATGGTAGCAATGCGGGCTCGGAATCAGCGATTTGCCTCTTGGCGAGTACAGTCGCATGGTCGCATGTTGAAGGGCCCCAATTCTGTTACAGGATGGCGTGACGAGGGTGTTGGTTGCTGCAGTGAAGGTACTGCTGACGCGTAGTCGAGTGATTCAGTGATTTGAAAATCCCTCCCTAAAAGGGACAGAGTGGGGGACCCCCAAAATTGCAATTTATTTATTTTTCGGGGGAGGGGGGGGGTAGCCCTTGAACTATTTCAACCGCGGACCCTAACCCCGCAGAAAAAAAATGCAACCCTTTTCTGGGACGAGCCTTCGGTTTGGTGGCCGCCCAAGCCCGCAAGCAGCAGTTTCTTGGACGCGTTGCAGTTATTTTGGTGGTTTTCGAGCCATTTTCCTTTAGAGGCAGTCATGTCCTCCCAGGCGCAAGCGGGAGAACCGTTTTGATCGCGGTCCCCCCTTCGAAAAAGGTTAAAAACCTGAGCGTGAAACCTTTCCTGCGTGTTTCACAACCACCCCCCCCTCTCAACCCCCCCCAAGTTACAATTCTTGGGGGGAAAACTAATTTGAACAGCAACCGTATCACCCAGACGACGAAATATAATCTTGCAAATGTCAACCAAAGCTGAATAATCATGTTGCAACAGCACTGGCCAACCACCATAACCTCATGCCGCCCTCTTCATTGCTACAAGCTGAGCATGTTTTGCCAAGTCGGCCCAAGGGGCCCCAATGCGCCACTTCTTGTGCATGGCCGGGCCGAGGCGGTGCGCGTCAAAGGCATCCTGGCGAAATGACGGTTGAGGCTCAGCGGCTGGCTCGCAGATTCGGTTTCCACTACCCAAACCGCTCCCAGCAACTAACATGGCACTTGACGCGGGGGGTCCTGGAAGACTGGGTTCTCCTTTTAAAGGGACCCCCGTTCCACGTGAATTGGTGAGAGGGTACCCCCGGGTATACACTATAGTGGCAGTATGGTGGCAGTATATCCCATTGAACCCCTGCGGGTAGTGGTTTGGGGGTAGTGGACCATCTTTGCGGGGCCTCTCAGCTTCAGCTGCGGGTTGGGCCATGGAACAAGTCGAAGTGCAACGGCCAGCATAGTTCCAAGCTGCTCGTTGACAAGTGCCGCAGTATCGTTTGGCACAAAGCGGGTGGGGACCGACTGAATTGGAACTCAACCCGTTGGAGCAAAGCCAATCACCTGCTCAGAAAGCTGTGGCCACGGTGATGAAATCCCATCCACAAGTCCCAGGGGTGCAACCACCATGAATGAAATCACCGGGTTTTACATAACCACCATGTTTTACCTGGGGAATGTCATCCAGACTTTTGGTCCGCCATTCTTTCAAGGGGGGTGGAACCCCGGTCGCACCTTGCGGCTTTCCCCTGTAACGTCTCCGCTGAGGTACTCCAGCCAACAAAATCTGGCTCCATGATTTTGCCATGATCAAAGTCACCCCCTAAGTGGCGGGTTGAAGGGAAATTACCAGCCATCTTCTGACTTTGATGACCCACAGAAACCCTCAAAATGATGACCCCAGAAGATGTCATCCAAATTCAAAAAAAAATCCACCGGACCGACCCGGTAAAACCAAGATGCCTGGAACATGTCCTCGGACCACTTCGAGTTTCTCGCCTCGGTGTCTCGTCTCAAGCTGTTTTAGGGCTCCGTTGCTCTGACTCCAGCTTTCTTGCCGGATTTCCTGCCTGCTTTGCCTCAAGCATTGGTGGCTGGGCAGCTTACGCCAGGCTTTTGCAATTGCTTTTGTGAGGGAAACCCTTTTCATAGCGGTTTGCAGGGCAACCAAAAAGGTTGCGTCCCCCTATCTTCACACAGACCCATGTTTGACTTCCCTTTTAGGCATTTGTCCCTTGGATTGGCTCGCGGGGGGATCAGAAACACAACAGGAGTGCGTTCCTCGTACGCAGTCCCGGCTGTGGGCAAAAGCCTTTTTGCATTTTAGAGGAAGTTGTCCCTCCTCCACCACACACCACAAACAAAACAAAGACAAACCACCCACGCACACTTGCACGTCCGCACACACACACACATATATGAAATATACAAGCCACCCCCATGCTGGAATTCAATATCACCTACCTGAATCTCTTGGCTTGCTCCTGATCTTGCCTTCATTGAACCTCTATAGCGCAAGCAATAAGCCGGCCAGTTTGGAGTGCCCTGCAGTCCTCAACCGGCTAACATCCCAACATCCCAACCGGGAGCGAGGCCATGATCACGCCGCCGTTGATGCGCTGCTCGCCGTTCTTCAGCCAGTCCTCGTTGGTGAGAAACCTGCGTGGCCAGGGCGCGGGGATCTCGAAATGAGCCGCCGGGCACTGGAGAGTCAAACATCTTCGGATCGCGAAACAAAGCAGGCTTCCAAGATCGCCCACCTGGCGATCTTGTCATTCATCTTCCAATCAGTCTGATGCATGGAATCCCCTTTTGAAAGTCCATGGATGATGTTTGATGCAACTATCTCCGAGTTACACCCTCAACAAAGTCCTTGCGAGGAACCTTCATCACCGAGTTCATTCTACCCCCAGCAAGGTGCACTGGAAAACCAGCGTTCACCAGTTCTTATCCAGCTTGCTCCCCCAGACTGCGGCACTATTCTGGCTGGCCCAAAACATGTGCTACAGGCCTACTGCAAACAGCTTGACTTGCAATTTTCCGGGGACTCTCCAAAAGCCGGTGTTCAAACATGGGACAAGGGTTGTCCATCAGGGCAGGTTCAAACCAAACACAAAACCACGGGCTGCAAGTAAAGAAATAACTCAGAAGCACACCGCGTGTATCTGAAGCAAGTGGAAGCACTCAAACCCGTGCGACCTGCGTTGCGCAGGAGCAATGCGGAAGGAAAGCTGAAAATGGCCAAGCAGCACATCCACATTCTGATCCTGCATCTGCTGCGCGATGCCCCCCAGAATGTCCACATGATGCCTGTGGCAAAAGAACTCGCAGTGCCAAACTTATATCTGGGCTGCCCTCAGGTCCCTTGCTAAAACCTAGCTTTTAGTGGGTTAAATGGAGTTAACCCTAGCAACCTGAAAACAGGGGTGATGGCTGGGAATACCAAGATAAAATCCCGCTCTGTGCTGTAATGATGTACATGTGGCTGGTGCAGGGGTGCAGGGGGCATCTCCTGACTATGACATGAAACAGCGCACACCTATACTATAAACACCTGGGCTGTCCTCAGATCCCCCGCTAAAAGTTTGACTTTTAGTGGGCTGAATGGACATCCCCACTAAACACTAAAAGGCTAAAAAGCTAAGGGGATGGTTGGGAGCCACCAAGACACCATTGTGACTGGTTTGCAACAACCTGCCTGACAAGGGCCGCATCCGCGTCCAGCACGACCATGTGTGTGAACTGCTGGGAGTTGAGGAGGTAGTCCTTAAAGCAGGATACAGCAGCACAAGAAGCACACATGTGAAGCTAACAAGCACGCATATGTTTTTGCATATGTGCGGAGAGTTGCCACAAATAACATATTCAAATGCGCAAAGCCAGGATCATAGCCATTGAAGGAAGTAATGCATGTCGATACGGCGGAAAGGCCTACATTGTTTACATGCACGGAAACATTTGCATTTATGAAAATATGAGGATGTAAAGTAGAAATACATAAGCATGCCAGCATGTACACAATGATTACAAGTGTGAGAGCTCTACTGGTTGGTGAGCCATGTGAAAGCACTGCGTGGGGGCTGGTTCAGCTGATGTGTTTCTGCACGTGGCACACAGGTTGTGGATACCAAATGTCTGGTACCAATGATGAATTTAGTGCAAAGCCATGTGCCCAACAAAATGGCTTGCAACTCCAGCATGAACATGCCAATATGGAATGAAGTTTCCTTAAGCCAGTCCGCAATTGCGTAGAATGCAATCACTTGCAACTGCCAGTGGCCCTTCTTCTGCTACAAGTCACGTCTCCACCATCTTTGGGTGGCTCTTTGCGTGGTGATTTCCTCGACTCTGTCGAAGGAAGCCAAGCACTGATGGCAGACTTGATGCTCAAACGAACAAGCTTGGGCGATAAGCCGGCGAGTATCTTGCAGCCACCCGAGTAAGCAATTATGCAGTCCCATATTTGTACCCGGCCAACACCGCCACGTCAACCAAAACAAAACTGGCATATAGCGCAAGTCACATATTGCAACCGGCAAATAGGTCATTGCGGAGCTTTTCTCGCACAGGATGCTCACTTCCTGAGTGGACTAGCCAAAACGTAACCAAACTTTTGTTTGCCACTAAAATGGTCCAAGCCCAACAAGTGACCAAAGTCCGAAACGGAACTCAGGTAGTGAGGAAAAGACAGGCCGTGTCTGAAGCCCGTGGGGCAGCAGCAAGACCGCTCTTTGCCTCATGCGAGGTACCAATCACGAAGCAGCTGCAGGAACTGAAAGACTTCAGTCGCTGTGTCCTCCGGGCTGCTGCGTTTTGATCAAGTCCTGGGTCGCTAACCAAAATGGTTGTTTGAGGATTGTCATCATTCAAACTGGGCCCTTGCCATTTTTCAAACGGGGGGTTTAACTTTTGCTCAAGCCTTTGAGGACAGTTCAGGAGAAGCCGAAAATTCTACCACTGATCTTGGCCGTGCAGGATGGGCAACATGCCCCAGAGACGATGCCTATTTGGCTTATCCTGGCAGGAAAGCAACCCAATGGAAACACTGCACCTTCGAGGCTGATTGAGTCTTCAATCTAGGCTGGAATTAGGATCCCAGCAAAGAAATATCTTTTTTGCCTGGCTAGTGGAAAACAAAGGGGACCCCACAAAAGCCAAAAAAAAGGGGTAACCCTTTTTTCCAACCTTGGAACCTTTTTTTTCAACCTTAAGCTCTTTTTCTGACCTTGGTTCCTCTTTTTTTCACCTTGGAAGCTTCTTTTTTAACCCTGGCGGGCGCAAAAGAAAAGCCCAAAGAAAAAGAGGTGGAGGACTCATCATCACCATCATCACCATCATCACCATCATCATCATCATCCTCATATCTATTTAATATAAAAGATAAATCTTGAAATTATTCGTTTTAATCATAATAAGTGCAATATATATATATATATATGCATATATGTATATCGATATTTGTGTATATTCATGATTTCTAAGTTGATTTAAATATAATACTCTCAATTTCAAATAATTATCCAACTATTACATAAGATTATATGACACTATCATATAGTTATATATGTTTTCTTCACTATTAGAAAATAGAATTAATATGGATATATATCTATACACATATTTTAACAAAACAATTCCATTCTAATCATGCAATTACCACAAACAATATACATATATATAGATAGATATATAATTCTAAAACTTAGTATTATTAGTATTATTATTCAAGAATTGTTCTTTATTCACACAATAGTTCTTCGTCCACCAATATATACCAAATAATATATATATATACATATAGATATACAGGCTTCGGGCACAAATATACAACCACTATTTATCAAAATAAATTCTTATACAAAACGATATACAAACATTATTCATTCCCAAAACAGCGAAGCGTTGGGGTTCTAACTTGAGGTATAGAGAATGGGAAAGTGTGACGCCGATTCCGGGGTCCTGTTTTCCGCTTGTCTTCCTGTCTCCCAGTCTCTCCAGTCAGGTGCCAGATGCTGTGACGCCGGCTCCGGGGTCGTGTCTCCCGCTTGTCTCCCTCAGATGTCGTGTCTCCCGCTTGTCTCCCTGTGTCTCCCAGTCTCTGCGGTCAGATGCCAGATGCTGTGACACGCCGGCTCCGGGGTGTGTCTCAGGCTGTCTGGGTCGTGTCTCCCGCTCGTCTCCCTGTCTCCCAGTTACCAGATGCTGTGGCGCTGGCTGCGGGGTTGTGTCTCCCGCTTGTCTCCCTGTGTCTCCCAAGGTCTCTGCGGTCAGATGCCAGCTGGCTGCGGTGTCCGCGGTCAGATGCCAGATGCTGTGACGCTGGCTCCGTGTCTCCCGCTTGTCTCCCTGTCCCTGTGTCTCCCAGTCTCTGCGGTCAGATGCCAGACGCTGACTCCAGGGTGGTGTCTCCCGCTTGTCTCCCTCTGTCTCCCAGTGAGATGAAAGATGCTGTTGTTGTGTGTCCCGCTTGGCTCCCTGTGTCCCAGTCTCTGCGGTCAGATGCCAGATGCTGTGACGCCGTTTCCGGGTTCGTGTCTCCCGCTTGTCTCCCTGTGTCTGCCAGTCTCGCGGTCAGATGACAGATGCTGTGACGCCGGCTCCGGGGTCGTGTCTCCCGCTTGTCTCCCTGTCTCCCAGTCTCTGCAGTCAGATGCCAGATGCTGTGACGCTGGCTGCGGGGTCGTGTCGTGTCTCCCGCTTGTCTCCCTGTGTCCGACGCTGGCTCCAGGTCGTGTCTCCCGCTTGTCTCCCTCTTTCTCCCAGACGCTGGTTCCGGGTCTGTGGTCGGATGCCAGATGCTGGGACGCCGGCTCAGGGGTCGTGTCTCCCGCTTGTCTCCCTGCTGTGTCTCCCAGTCTCTGCGGTTGGCTGTTTGTTTAATGCTTACAGCCCTCAACAGGGTCCTGGGCAAAACCAACTCAAGTCTTCTTTGCGAGTTTTGGGGCTGACCTTGCTTGCAGCTGGCTGCTTTCCTGCTTACAGCCCTCAACAGGAAAAATGAAGGTCCCGGGTTCAGATTCTGCACCTAGAATTATTTATATGATGGATTAGGTTCATAATGTGAATATACCATTGTTTCCACATGTGTCCGTATCTTGAATGTGTAGTCCAATTACATTTATTGCATGCAACTAGTGATACACCACACAACCACACACACAAGTATACACCATATTGTAGTGTATACATGCAATATTAGCATGCCATATTGTATATGATATATTATCCATCAGGAATCGCCAGCCATGAAGCGCGCCATGGAACCAACAGATCCACCTGCCAAGAAGATCAGGCCAGATCCAATGGCACACGCCAGACAACAATTCGAACTGTACCTGGCTATGGCAAGCCAATGGAAGACTTAACTGGATGCCGTGGTAGATGATGATTGGCCAGGACCAGCCACCACTGGCTCATCCAGCGTGGTTCCACCGGTGAAGTCGCCAACAAGCCCAGCAGACGCTCCGCCAACTGACACTCCAAGCCATGTGGCACAGGCCAAGCCACGCGACAAGAAGAAGACATGTGCAGCCCCAGCATCCTTGATCAATCCAAAGGAAGAGATCGATGATGCCTCACCCACACCACCACTCACAACATCACCAATCAGTGTGAACACCAGTGCAAAGTCAGCACCGGCTGGCACACCATCACCAAGAGCATCACCAACTGTCAAGACAGAAGTGTCAGACGAGCCGCCAGCTGAAATGGCAGATCCAGTGCCAGCTCCAGATGCAGCAGACTCCAGTGCCAACACCAGCGCAACCAGTGCAGCACGATCAAAAGCTCGCACCACCTTGAGAGGCACATCCTTTGCAAACAGGCTAACAGCAAAATCTGCGACATGCCCTTGCCCCGTGGCGAAGCATTGTTGCAAGTGGTTCCTGCTGACTTGTCGAATCTATGTTTCTAGCTTGATGCTTCTCAATTGCGCTTGCGAGCTGCTGCCACGTGAGCCGAAGGGAGCCGAAGGGAGCCGAACGCCGGTTGCTGGATGCCAAGCAAGCCAGGTCAGCCCCAAAACTGGGTAAGAAAAAAAACAGGTTCAGTTGGTTTTGCCCGTGGCTTGGCCTGTGCCACATGGCTTGGAGTGTCAGTTGGCGGAGCGTCTGCTGGGCTTGTTGGCGACTTCACCGGTGGAACCACGCTGGATGAGCCAGTGGTGGCTGGTCCTGGCCAATCATCATCTACCACGGCATCCAGTTAAGTCTTCCATTGGCTTGCCATAGCCAATGGCGTGTGCCATTGGATCTGGCCTGATCTTCTTGGCAGGTGGATCTGTTGGTTCCATGGCGCGCTTCATGGCTGGCGATTCCTGATGGATAATATATCATATACAATATGGCATGCTAATATTGCATGTATACACTACAATATGGTGTATACTTGTGTGTGGTTGTGTGGTGTATGCATGAAATAAATGTAATTGGACTACACATTCAAGATATGGACACATGTGGAAACAATGGTATATTCACATTATGAACCTAATCCATCATATAAATAATTCTAGGTGCAGAATCTGAACATACTGTAAAATACAATCACTTTTAGGTTCAGAATCTATTCTATGGTAGATACTATGTTAGGTTCAGAATCTGAATCTAGACTGTGTTTAGGTTCAGAATCTGAACCTAAACTACATGGTTACTTGAATTAGGTTCAGAATCTGAACCTAGACTTTGTTTAGACATGAATTAGGTTCAGATTCTGAATATACTATGTTATGAAATATTGATGTTGATCACATGGTATTGAATTGTAGTTACAGTAACCCACATTGAATTGTACGAACCTACTTGAATATCACACCAGAATTGAAATGTGTAACACATGATCAGCGTGATTTACTGCAAGTGACATGTGTTGGTTCCATTGGTGACACCCATTGCAATTTGAGCCACTCCAACACTCATTCTGCATCAGACAATTAATTGTATGACCCAACCCAACTGCAGCTGATCAACATGATTGACTACACGATGTAGCCATATGGCCTGATGTATGTCAGGATTGTGTGCATGACATGCTGGAACGTTGTAGCCACACAGGCTTGACAATTCACAGCGCGCTGCCCATGCCGAAAATGATTCATCACTCATGGTGTTTCCTGATGTAGCCTAAAAGCTTGGCAAGTTAGCTCATGATCATTCAAACAACAAATTGCAGGGAATATGTTGGGCCCGGGTAACATTATATTTGTTGCAAGCTGCACAGAGCTACTTTTTGGACTCAGTCATATCTGGCTGCGTCTGTATTGCCAGAAACAAGCTCACTCACATTGGTGGGCAATGTGGCACCAGACAATGTGTGCTGCATCACGATAGCCTTGCAGATGGTTCGGGTGGTGGGGCACAAGGTGGACAGGCGCTTCTACTTCAGGCGCCTCCTACCGGGCGTACGCCCTGCTGCGCAACAGCTTCTCGGGAAAGTGGGGCTCCTTCGCGCGGCGGCAGTCAGGGGCAGCGTGCGGCGTAACGTGGTCGTGCGGCGCCAAGGACGCGCTGGCCATCTGCGCGCTCTGCCCTGCCCGGCGCCCCGGCAGACCTGCTGCATCTACGCCGACCCTCCCTACATCCCCGGCCGCACCATGAATTACTACGGGACGAAGGGGCGGGGGCACGACCTGGCCTTCCACTCGGAGCTCTGAGACGCGCTCTTCGCGAGCGGCCTGCCCTTCGTCGTGAGCGTCAACGACGTGCCGGAGGCGCGAGAGCTCGACGGCAGGGCCGACTCCATCACGAGCCTGAGCTGTTCCAAGCCCGAGCTGCTGGTGCTGCATTGGGGCAATCCTGTTGCCAGCGCAGGATTGGCGGGGGCAATC